GTGAGAAGCAGCAGAGCATGAAGGTTCCTGATGGATTTATGTGAGGCAGGAAGCGCTGGCGCCYGGCTTTGCTGGGCCCATGGGAAGGGGATGCCAGGGCCGGGACTGTCCAGCCGGTGCCTGGGGCTGCAGTCACCGCGTGCCGACTTCGGCAGGTCGCGAGAGCTGCGCTGCGTAGGTTCAGTTCCTCGGAGAGCCTCGTGCTCCAAGGCGGCCTCGSCTCTGTCACACACGCCCCGCGTCGGCCCTCAGGTGGACGGGCAGCGGGCGGCTCACGCACCCACCGTGTGCTATTTAAAAGTAATAATTTTGTGGCTGAATGACGCCTCAGCGTTTCTTTTCGGGGAAATTGCCAAATGACTTAATTTCAACACTCTGTCACTCAGCTGCTGGCGCAGCCCTCGCCATGGCATGAAAACACCACGGCCGCCCTGGCTGGATTGCACCTCTGTGACTGTAAAAACAGTGATTCAGAATTTGCTCACTTTTACTGCGTGGGGACAAGATCTTGGCCAGCTTCCTGGCTCCAAGGATCATAGGGGAGCGTTCAAGGACTTTAGCTCAGTAATCTGTATTTCCACTTTTTTTCCCCTTTAATTTTGAAAGAGTTACCCCCCCCCAGCCCTCGCCTCCCGCTCGGTCTGTTCTTTCCGTGCCCGTAATTGCAGGGTGAGGGCTCCGTGGYGGGCAGCAGCTCACAGCGACGGGCCCCTTCCCTGCGCTTCCGTGCAGGTTTTGCTCTGCCACTGGTTCCCCGGAGCGGGACTCCAGCGCGGGGCCCCTTCGCCCCCAAGGCTGCTCCTCGTGTYCTGGGGCTGCTCCAGGCTGTCCCCTGCCTCGGTCCCCGTGTGGGGCTGGTCACCCCGGGGCTGCATCCACAAGTGCTGGAGGGGGCTGCAAGGGGTGACACACACTCTGCTSTTACTGGTTATGTGAAAGGGGCACAGCTTTGCCCTTATGGGGCTCCAGGATACACYTTTAGCACAGAGCCACCTTTGATCTATAGCTTTCATATATGATATTTTTAATTGTATTTATTTATTTTAAGAAATAAYGCCCTAAGCCTATCCTCCCATTTTTATGTTTTACGGGATGCTTTTAATTTCACTTTTCGGACAGCCCTTCCTGTGCCCTTGGGCAGCCCCGGCGCGGGCACCGCGTGTCCCCGGGGCCGTGCRTGGCAGCGCTGCGTGTCCCCACGCGTGACCCTCGCGGGACAGCCCCGCGCCTCGTGTCAGAAACCACCCCCCCCGTTGCGAAGGGCCGCGCGCACGCGTGTGGGGGGGGAGCAGCTCGGCGCCGGCCGCGCGCGTGGGGAGCCGCGCGTGGGGCGCAGCCGCCGCGCAGCGGCAGCCCGCGCGGCCGGGCCCCCCCGGCGCACGTCACTTCCTTGCAAACTTTTTCCCGAGGAAATGTCCGCGCCCGAGGTGCCGCGGGGCGCCGGGCGCGGGGGCCGCGTGCGCGCGCGCCGGGCCGCGGGCTGAGCGCGCTCCCTCCGCGCGCGCGCCGCCGCGACCTGCGCCCGGCCCGGCCCCGCCATGGCCCGGGAGTGCGCGGCGCGGAGCCTGGACGGCATCGAGCTGGCGGCGCTGCGGGTAAGCGCGGGGCGCGCAGGTGCCGCGGAGCCCCCCGCGCCGCGCCCGGGAGCTGCCCGGCGGCTGCAGCGCTGCGGGTCCCGCGGGGGAACGGGGAGAAACGGGCGTGCAAGGGGACACATGGAGCGTGCGCGCAGGGACTTCTTTATTATAATAATTTTTTTGTTAAAGAAGTCGTTGTCACCCGGTTTGCTCGGAGTTTTGGCACCGTGCTCCCGTGGCTTTTTGCAGCTTTTAGGGGAATCCAAAATCTCGGCCATGCTAAAGGCAGCCCTGGTAGCGGTCGCGCCCGCCGGCAGTTCCCGGGATAGAGGGCGATGCCCCTGGGTTCCCCTSGGCTCTCCTCGCTTGGAGGAGGACGGTCGCCAGCCCCGTCCGGCCAGCGCGGTCGGTTTTTCTGGAGCAGGGAGCTATGGAAGCAGGGGGAGAAGAGAGGAGAGTTTGGCTGTGCTACATGCCGGCAGTCCCGGATGGGAAGAGCGAAAGAAGCTGCTTGCTAAAAATATCAGAGAAAGAGGCTGGGAAAAAGTTGTGCTGAATCCCAGGGCCGGGAGGGTGCCCCAAGCCCCCACGAGATGCAGAGCGGTGCCGGAGTCGGTCGCGCCTGAAAAGGTGGCCTGAGCCCCCCGGCCTTGCTCAGGGGACAAGATAAAACGTGGAAAGGGTTTTTGGGCTCGAGCAGATGAATCTTATCTTCCTATGTAGCTGATAAGAAGTGGGTGTGCGTTTGCAGCAGCAGCAGCTCCRTGGAAGCTGTGCGGAAACCTGCCAGAGGCTCCGGAGCGCTGCAGGCTYCAGCCTCGGCAGGGCAAGGAAAACGTGTCCGTCCGGAGGAAGTCTGCTTGGCACGACTGGCTGCGGGCTGGGCTCGCGCGTAGCGGGAAGCGAGGGCGGAGAGGGGCTGGGCCCCACGGATGTTGTCCAAAAAAAGGTGCTTATAAGGGCTCCTCAGGGCACCCAGGAGGGGATGGCGGTGCCACCAGGCCAGCGGACACTGTGTATGACTTGCAGGAAAGCACGATGACCAGCATATGGTGTAGTCCATTACAGTAATTAACCTTAAAGTGCTGGATRCGCAGGTCAGGATCTTGGCATGTGTCTGAGGAAGGCGGGCAGCCTGGAGGAATCCCTGCGGCCAGGACAGTGCCGAGGAGCTCCAAGATGATTAAGAAGTTGGCCCGTTGTGAGGACTTTGCTGGTGRAGGATGCAGCGCTGGTATCCAAGCAGGCAAGGGCAGTGCAAGGACCCAAGGCAGAGCCCAAAGTAATATTTTTTATGGCAGGCTCTGCTTCCTCTTGAGCSCTGGCTGAAAGGAAGGACATGCACGAGTGCAGTGACTGCAGCCAGTGCTCCACAAGCGTGAAGTGTTACAGCCTAGCTGGCTAGCAAGGGCAGGGGTATGGTTTTAGCTATATTAGCTATATACTTAGGTGTTTATTTGGGTAATGGTTTGTTTGCTTTCTGGAAGTGTTTGAAACCTTGAGAAACAAGCTATTGGGATGTTAARTCAGAATTGATTTGATTGGAGGGAGAGAGGAAGTAGGTCTTGGGGCACATAAGATTCACGTATTTATATAAATAGGTGAGGATGGATAAAAGAGTGAGGACGGAGGGTGTATCTGAGTGCACAGGACAGTGGCACACAGTGGGAATTTAAAAAAGCAGTTTAGCTTCCTCCAGACATGGGTGCCCATGGCCTGGGGAGGAATCCGGCACGTTCTCCACACGGAGACACGTCCCGGGGCAGCCTGCAAGCCGGGACACGGCTCGGCCGCACATGACTCCCAGCTTGGTGACACCCGCCAACAACCCACGCGGTTATCGCTGCCGCCAGCGAGGAGTACGGCTCGTGCCTACCCGAGACCCGTGGAAAGCGAAGAAGTGGCGAGGAAGCCGAGGCGCTTACCAAGATCCCCATGTTGCAGCCCCCTTGGCCTGTGMCCAGCTCTGCACACCAGCGGTCTCATCCATCTCCTCTTGTGCTAGAGGAGTTGGGATCTAAGTCTAGGCCGCCATGCCCTGCTACTTTGTCTTAAAAATAAGAGACAAATGAGACTGAGCAGCCATTGCCTGGGTCAAAAAGGGAACACATGGGCCTGGTAATGCATCATTAGTTAGATTTGAAAATATTAATGAAAACAAAAAAAAATCTTGTGAGGTTGACAGTTCAGGAAGAGTAAGATTAAAACCAGGTACAGTTTTTAAGAGAGAACTTCAAGGAGGAAGAAAAAAAAAATATGTTAATAACTAAATTAATTTAGTATATATAAAAATATAATTAAGATAGCATTTTCATGGAGAAGTAGTTTTGCATCTTTAAAAAGATGTTTTCCAGCCACAGTTGTGGAAATTGTGCTCCTGAGATACGGAATTTTAGTCGCTGTCGCGTCCCTCCTCAATACCAATTAACATCAACTGGTGTGACAGATTGCCGAAACAGATGTGGTAAGGCTGACACATGGAATTAATAATATTTTATATAAATCTCTCAATGATATCATCCCAAGCAATGAGCTGGGCTGACGAATGGCTCTGCCAGATACCGAGCAACTGGTTTCTTGTGTTTTAATGGTTCCATGTAAATCTTCCGAGCGCGTTTGAACTGAAGCAACGCCTTTCTCGGCGAGTGCGGCCTGGCCTGGGCCTGGCCGCAGGCCGGGGCTCCCGGTGCCTCCTCGTAGGGCAGCGGGCGCCTCGCAGCGCTTGGGCCGGCGTCATCCATGGGCCACGCTGGACGCCCGACGTGTTAATCTCATGTGTAAATTAGCAGCGGTCTAGTTCGGGTTCAAGGCCAAGACTTGCATACATCAGTCAGATTCACCTTGTTGTGTTTGTAGAGCAGGGCGATTGAGCGTTCTCGGCTTGCATTTGGTATTATGATTCCTCTGGGATGAAGTATTTCCCTCTGGTAAGGAAATTGGGCTCAGCTGCTTTATATGATATGTTTCAGTTTTATTATTTCGGTTTTCTTTCTTATGTTACTGATCCTTAGTGCTTCACAGCAGAGGACAGCAGCTCAGCCTCCAGACCAGCTCAGGATTTTGAGGTGTAGGAAGCCAGAGTTTTATTCCTTACCCTACCACCAAGTTGCATTGCAAACCTTAGCTGTTTCACTTGAATTTCCATATTTTTCTCATATCTCCATTTATTTATGATGTCAATAGTATTGACACATTACAAGTCCTCATTGAGTTGCTCTCTGTAGAGTTTGGAGCAACTTGGCTGAAAACTTTAAAGCAATGCATGTCTTTCAGCTGCATTTGGTTGCTCTTGTGTCCCTGTTTATCTGGTAGAGATCAGTAGAAGTGCCGAAGATGTTGACATTCTGATTGTGAACCATTCTGCTCCTTTTTGAAGTGCTTGGTTTGATTCAAATGATGTTATTTCTTCTTCTTCTTTTGCAGGATCCTGCAGGAATATTTGAGCTGGTGCAGGTCGTTGGAAATGGGACATATGGACAAGTCTATAAGGTTTGAATGCCTCTATAGTTTTTATGATGCCGTTCTTAATAAAGCTTTTTTTTCCTGAAGCAAAAATGAGCTCTGTTTAAGGAGYAGAAAACCCTGTCCTGGTAATAGTGTTTTATCTCTCTGTCTCTTCTGTTTGATGCAAAATGGAGTCAGCTCAGGAGCTCTGTGCTCCTTCCTTCTGGTGAGCTTTTGTCTCTTGGCTGCTGCAGGTCACATTATTAGCTCTTGTACTGACTTTCCCCTGCCATGTTTTTTTTCTGTCATGTGGTTATTTTCACTTTTTTTTTTTGAAAATCACTTTTTTTAATAGACGGTTTGCACAAATTATCGTTAATGATGGTTATTTTGGGCTGGATTGGGTAGAGTACCCAGTATAGACTAAAATAGTAGTAYTCTGCAAGGCGTAGGTGTGAATTAGTTATGTTGTGCAGGCTGAGAAGCTTTTGGTTTCCATTATTACATKTGTTGTGTGATACCAGTGCAAACCAGGTTGTCCCCGCTGCAAAACTGTTGCCGTGTTCGGTACCCCGTGCAATGCACTACTGTAGAAAAGTGTTCCTTCCTTGMACAGCCCTTCTCAAGAATGATCTAAGAAGGTAAAACCAGACATGATAAAACAGGGAAACAAGCATGCAGCATTCCAGTTCGGAGAGAAAAGATGGGAAGGAAGAGGCAGCAGTGCTGACCCGCTGGAAGTGCAGCACTGGAGAGAGCTGCCTGGTCTTGAATCTCCCTCGAATCTCCCTGCAGACAAATTTTTGTGGGTGTTTTTTTTTTTTTTTTTTTTTTTGGCTGTGCAGACTCTTCCTGTATTGATCTTTCTGCAAAGAAATGCTCTGTCTTTTTCCAGTTTCAGTGCATGGATCCTTTTTCATGCACTTGTCCAAGACTCTGTGTCTGTCTTTCAATGGCTCATCTGCTGTGATCACATTTTAGTTCCTGCTTGAAATTACTGATGCTTTTTGAAAAACTATAAAATTCTCTGTCAAAGATTGTTATCTTTTTCTTTCCCATATTACCTTTTTTTTTTTTTTTTTTGTCAGAAACAGGATCTTTCTCATGTAACTATTTGTCTGCTGCTATGATTAAGCCTATGCTGTGTGTGAGATTGACATTCAGATAGTGAGGTCAGGATTACTAAATCAAAAATAAAGATTTGAGGGTTCATTTGGGTGGACTGGTTGCCAGTTAAGATCTAGGGGTATTGTTTGTAGAGGAAGCACAGAGATTTCCACCAATGAAAGATCCTGAAATTCCCCAAAGTGCCTTTGAAACATTGTGGGGTTTTTTTGTTTTTGTTTTTGGTTTTTTTTTTTTTGGTCTGGATTTATTTCATACAGAGAAAGGAAAATTTTCAATCTGGACATCTTTTAAGGATGTTGAGGGTGAATCAGCTGCTTCTTAATCATGCCAGAAACAGGAAGGAAAAATATAGTTCAGCTTCTCAGCTACAAAAGAGAATGCTTTGAGCAATCATGTGGTTCACTTGAACATTAGATGCCAGGATGCATAAGAAATGTTGATAAACTTAAAGATTCTACCCAAGGGCTCAGACAGGTTGTTCTCCATATGTGCTTAACTCGTGACTGCCCTTCACTGTGCACGGAGGAGAGCAGGGTCCGACAGCTCAAGGCAGCGGGTGTTTGGGCCCCTGGTCGTGCTCCTGAGCTTGCAGCCACAGAGGCACCAAGAGAAGGGGCCTCGTGGAGCTGTGGACATCCAGGGAGCATTTTTGTGCTCTCCAAAGTCCAGTGTTTGCAGATACCTCTGCAGAAGATGCCGAACACCACACTCGTAGGAGGTGGTCTCTCTGGTGCTGGTTTAGAAATCTGAACAAAATTCCTGTTTTTTTTTTGGAGGAAGGCAGCTACAAAAGCACTTCTGCTTCTGCCGTGACCACAGAAGTTTTTGGTATTCACTTCTCTCTCATCTGCTATGTAAGACATGTCTCAATCTATACAGTGCTAGGATGAAGCTAATTAGGCAATGCTGGAATCATTCTGTAGTTTGTCTAGTCAAGAGTACAGGCGTGTGATCATAAATATTTAAGTTATAAAGTAATCACAGTTATCCATGCGCTTAGTCATGCCGCTAGTGTGTGTGCTTATTCTTCAAAGGCATCAGAATTTTCYGTACATTCAGAAATAGGCACACATAGTAGTTTACACATAATCACAACAAAATATATCCAACATCATGGAACTGCTTGATCAGCTATGAAAACAACTTATTGGGATATGTTTTGATATATGCAGCTCCATAATAATAATATAATAATAATAATAAAAGAGGGTTCATCATTAGAAACATTTTTAAAAAGGGATTTATCGAAGGATGATAATGTTCATAGTGCATCATTATAGACCAGTTCCAGTTTGGTGTCATCTGACGCTGATGAAATGAAAGGGACATAAATTGCATCCATGATAATACTAGAGCTATCTAGGGAAGTTATAAAGGTAGGATTTGAATATAGTAACTCACTGAAAGGACTTTTTTGACATCTTACAAAGTAGTGGGACATAAATACGCCAGCACTGGCAATTTCAGCCGTTTCAGAGGTATGAATATTAAAACATCTGGTGGTGCTCAGAAGTCATGAGACTTAGACTTAGTTATCTATTCAAATGACAGATGTGTTTTTCAGCTAATTGCTTGATTTCAGGAGCTGAAGCCTGGAGAAATGACTCTGAATAAGGGAGTGGAAAATGGTAGCAGGAGGTTTCTGTGGAGGCCATGGAAGGTAGTGCCTGGGCTGGCAATTGGAATAGCAGGAACGCTCTTGTTTCCTGAGATTTAAAGTGCAGAGGACTAGACYGCGTCCAATTGCCTCCACTAACCACCCATGGGAAAGGGAAGCTTGGACCTTCCCAGGCACTGGGTGGACTGTCTTCCTAGGGACCATAAGTGATAGGAACCAGCAAGATTCTGTAGGGGAGATGGTGTAACTCTCCCAAGTTTGCTTGGCCTGATGATTCGTAAGGGATTTCAGTCAGAGCAGTGTTTTGCATTGCTTAACTGCAAGTCTCATCTGGGAGGAAGTGAGATTGTTGAAGGTGTCAGCCTCAAATTCTTGGATTTCACTTCCTCCCTGAGCTGCAGTCACGTAGCCTTGGAATTTCTCCTCTCAGACAAGATAAGGATGTTTGAATCTGGTGTCCTTTGCAGTGGCAGTAACACTGCAGAAAATAATGTAGGAGATTAAATAGGTACTATCTGTTCTATTTGCCAGTAGTTATTACAATCTTGTTACATTGTGGTGAAAAACAGCTTCTGCACTGTTAAAGGTAGCACCTTGGAAAGCGTTGAGGAGCTACAATCTGTGGATAAGAGTATTAAGGCTACTTCTGGCATCGGAGGCTTGTCTGTTGAGACCTGGCAGTGTTACGTTTAGAGCAATTCTTTGCCTGCTCCCATTACCACTAAATGTTCCATTATAAGCTGCTTGCCTGGTTCCCTTCAGCAGCAGTGCCATGCTGCTGTGATGAGTTTGGGTGGTGCTCAGCTGTCACCTTGATGAGGTTGTGATTTCGTGTGTGTCTGTGCTTTTGATAATAGTGCTTGAGAGTTTCTTTATGGACTCCAGCTCTTAGTTTCATATCCATGGACTCCAGCTCTTAGTTTCATATCCATTATCCATTGGTAAATCTGCAGCAGAAGTCAGTCAGTGGAGTCTTTTTGCTTTTCAGTGCTCTAATTAGAGGGTCATTTTTCTGATTAGGTGAGGGACAGTTGAGATAGCCTGAAGTGGGTGCCTTTTTTAAGTGTATTCAGTTAATGGCTTTTTTTTTTTTGAGGAGGGGAGGGCTAACAGGATAAATAAAACTTGCTAAATTCCTAATCCTCCTTTTCCAGCTGTGTTCCGAGGGTGCTCATCCTTCTAAGAAAGTTTTCATGGGCCAAATGAGGTCATGAGCAGCATCTGCACCATCTGCTAATTTTCTGATGTTGAAAAACACCTGACTGGTGCTTTTGACTTCCTTTCTCTTAAGGATGCAGATCAGCCCCTTTCCTGCGCCAACATTTGTGGTTAGCATAAGGAATGAGAGGTCAGTGTCTCTGGCATGTTCCCAGAGCTGGAGTTCTTAGAGTATGATCTTGCAGGCTAATGCTAAATCATGACAGATTTACAGCTGTTTTGTGTACAGAATGATTATATCTTTAATGGAATCTGAGGGCATGGAGAATTTGAGAGGTGCTGTGGGATTCGGAAGGATGGAGGTGGGTTCCCAGTGATGTGACTGATGAAGACTGAGCAGCGCTGCGGCCACCCCCTCCTCCTGTCAGGCCAGTAACTCTATTTCTTCTGTAATAACATAGGACTCTGGATATATCTAAGGGAAGTGGGTCAGAGTAAGGAAGTTCCACTTTATTCAGCTGTTTCTTGGCACTGAATCACTTCAATGGTTGACATAAGCTATCAGTTATTCTGCTGTTGATGTACAGTGGCAGGGATGCAGTAGAGCATAAATATGACTCTTTGGTTTATCTGAAGCAATTTAAGCATCTCTTAAGTTCTGTATAATTGATCTCATTAAATGAGTGGCTGAAGTAACTGAGACCAAGCAGGAAAAATTTTAAAAAGCAGCGTGGTTTATTTTTCAAGGGATAATTGCTACTATGTGGAAAAAATTCTGTGGCCATGCTAAATTGCGAAGTGTGAATGCCTGTGGACTCTGTTGAAAGCCCTAATTGACGGTAGTGCCTAAGGCAGTTACTGGAAGGCTAAATTTAAGAAACCTTGCTGTTATGTTCAGTGCAACCCAGAAGGTGAACATGTATATGCCGAAGATTTCAAAAAACTCCATCCCAAGGACTGGTCATAAGCAGCCCACTTTTAAGGAAGGCCTGGCCTTGCTGAGCTATGATTTCAGAGTCTCCAGACTGCCACAAACAGACATTAAAAAGAGTCATTTCAGCTTAGCGAATTTTGCTATCATTTTTGGTCAGTTAYGGTTTTCAAGCCAATCATAGCTTTGAATGAGTCAAGTGGGGAAATG